ATAGATAGATAGATAGATAGATAGATAGATAGATAGATAGATAGATAGATAGACAGATAGATAGAACAATGGATGAGTGGCTGGATGGCCGATGGACGAAAGAGGAATGGATGGATGGATGATAGACAGACAGACAGACAGACAGACAAATATATAGATACAGATAAAAATCTGCATTAACCCAAAGGCAGGAAGAAACCAGCAGGGTCCAAAAAAGACACAACACTGGGCTCCGAGAAAGGGATCCCTGCATTGAGGCGGGGCGGGGGATCCGGACGTCTTCAGGGGATCGAGGCCGCGTCAAACGGACCGAAGGGAAAGCAGGGACCAGTAGGGGAGCCCCGGCAAGCGATGCAGCGAACCCCGCATCTCCAGGGAAGCGCGATGGCTGTGCGAAGAAAGAGCCCACCCGGAGGACTCGGGAGGGAAGCCTGAGGCCCGGCTCCCCATTGATAATCGCGGCTCGCAATGGGGTTTAATGGGGTGGGCGGCTAAAGGGGATCTCCCCAAATTCTCGACCCACCTCCGTAGCCGACAGCGGCTCCGCTGCCCCCGCGGCCCATGTAGAGGCCAGTCCGGGACCGAGGGGGCATCGAGACGAGAGCCCAGAGCGGTTGCGAGTGAGGTACGGAGGTCTCCTCGTCTCTATGGAAAGCCATAGAGATGGTAAGGCTAGAGCGTGCCAGGAGGAGGAAGAACGGATAGCTTTACTGCAGCATGTTTCAACCTTGGCAACTTGAAGATGGCTGGACTTCAACTCCCAGAATTCCTGGCTGGGGAATTCTGGGAGTTGGAAGTCCATCCATTTTTCCAAATTGCCAATATTGAGAAACACTGTAGTGGGGTGAAATGTGTGATGTCCTGACCCAGCCAGGGTAGCCCCCGACTCTTCCCTATGACCAAGCGCTGCCTTCCCAGCTGTCAGTTCCTGCAGAAAGACCAGAGACTACAAACCCCATTATCCCCCAACCGACTCAGCCTTGAGGGGTGTCAAGGCCTCTCTGGCGGCCACAGGTTGGAGGAGGAGGCTGCTTTATCAATTTGGATGTAGAAAAGGAGGAAAGTCAGGGAACCTGCCCCAATTTTTTTCCAATCACTTTTTGCAAAGGGTTGATCCCAGAATTCCTCAGCCAGCTACAATATGTACAATTTATTATAAGGTAAAGGTTCCCTTCACACATCCGTGCTAGTCGTTTCCAGCTTTAGGGGGTGGTGCTCATCTCTGTTACAAAGCCGAAGATCCAGCGCTGTCCGAAGACATCTCCATGGTCATGTGGCCGGCATGACTAAACGCCTTCGAAGGCACATGGAATGCTGTTACCTTCCCACCTATTTTTCTACTTGTGTTTTTTACGTGTTTTTGAACTGCTCGGTTGGCAGAAGCTGGGACAAGTAACGGGAGCTCGCTCCGTTACGCGGCGCTAGGGATTCAAACCACCAAACTGCCAAGCTTTCTTTCTGATCAACAAGCTCAGCGTGTTAGCCACTGAGCCACCGCGTCCCTACAATTTATTATACCTAAAGGATTATTTTCTGCCTTCCTCTGATCATTTCCATCCTTCTCACCCATGAAACTGCTACACGATGTATTTTCTTTTGCCAACGCAGATAAAGGATGGTCCAGGGGATAAAGTTGTGTCTTTGTGTTGGATAACAGCCGCAGCTTTTCCAAGAGACCAGAGTGGCTTCCACAACTCTTTAAGTGAAGATGAAAAAAGCGGAACCCAGGGCTTCCCACATTTTAAGCATTTATAATTCGGCTACAATGTGTTCTCTGCATAGTGTTCTTTTTTTAAAAAAATATTTTTCCCGCCTTTATTGTTTTTTTTTATATATAAATAACACAGCAAACATATCTAATACTTCTTCCTAATTTCCCCATAACAAGAACCCAGTGAGGTGGGCTCCAACATTCAATGCAGGATCGAAAGCTTGATGACAATTCAAACAGGAGGAGGAGGAAGGAGTACAAGCATTCATTTAGTGTCCGTTCAAAGTTACAACCACACTGAAGAGACCTACGACCGTTTTCGCGCACTTACGATCACTGCAGCCTTCCCATGGTCAGGTGATCAAAATTCAGGTGCTTGGCAACTGGCATGTATTTAGGACGGTTGCAATGTCCCGAGGTCATGTGATCAGTTTTTGCGACCTGTCAAGCAAAGTTAATGGGGAAGCCAGATTCACTTAACAACCGTGTTACTAACTTAACTGCACTGATTCACTTAACAACTGTGGCAACAAAGGTTGTAAAATGGGACAAATCTCAACTTGTTCTGACCCAAACCTGGTTCCAAGGAAGGAAACACGAGACAAAGGTAACAGCACAATCTTTTAATGATTCTTTACGAATCCGGTTTCTTCACGGTTAAAAGGTTGCTTCAACCCAATTAGCTCCAATAAGAAAGAGCTTTGCCAGGCTTTTGCAAGGCTGCCAAGAACACCAGATAAAGTTACTAAGCAATAATTCAAACCAAAGAGTCTCCAAACACCAACTCGGATATTTCTAGTGTCCACCAGGCTCGAGTGCAAAACTTCTTTGCCTTCTGCAAAGAACTGCAGTTTCTCAGCTGGCTTTTACCTCCTGAGGGAGGGGCCATTACCTTGCAGCCTTACTCCTGAGTCGCCCATGCTGCTGCAGCTGCTCTTTCCTTCGAGCAGCCCTGCGCTTACGTGCATTGGGCACGGGCTCCTTGGGGACCTCTTCATCACTCTGCCAGCCTCCACAATCTCCAAAGGCAGCATTCCACTCCCGGATGGTCCTGGCCCCATCCCTGCATCACACACAGGCCCATCATCTGAGTTTTTGCTCTCCGAGCCCTCAGCCGTCCACACCTGCTGCCGGCGAACCACAACACAACTATCAATGGAAACTCAGCAGTGGAATTTTTGGGTTCATCTCTGGAGATAAGTCAAGGATTACCTGTATTAGGTATGTTTGCTGCCTCAAGTTATTTATTTAAAAATGCAGGATAAAAATATATTTTTAAAAAGTTGTTCAGGGAAACGTCTTCACCGTTTACAATGTTCATTTGCAAAGAACTCAAATGTGCGGGAGATGAAGGACCTGTAAAGAGCTTTTCCAAATGCAGAATCCCAGCTAAGATTTTAGGCTACTGGTTAAAGATGCTTGGATGCTTCTGCCTCTAAGCTATATGGATGAGATCTGCTGATGTGTTCCTGCTATTTCTGCGTTCCGCTACTTTTTCTAGACCACACTACAAAATGGTAAAGTTTTCACCTGTGATTATATGATAAATGAGCTACTTTCTGAAATGAAAAGTTCAGGCAAGTGCAGCTGCCGATGAGAAGATAGTCTATTCTTACCAATTCATGCCACAGTAATCAGGTGGCATTTTGCAAAGTTGGCATCAGACACCTCTGAATAGTGCTATTTTGTGGCTGACTGGAGGAAACGTTCTAATGATGGCATGAGTGTGATCTACACACCCCAGTAGAGGCACCACAGAACGGACATTGGTGGAAATATTTTGCTATGCAGAGCTCTGAGAAGAAAAAAGAGGAACATCGTTGAGATACTGATTTTCCCATGGTTATTGACAAAGAATTCAATCCATCAGCTTCATAAAGTCAGCAGAAACATTTGAAAACCAGCATGATTCCTCCCAGTGGTTGGGATTCAATTTTTTTTTTTACTATCGGTTCTGTGGGCGTAGCTTGGCTTGGCGGGCGTGGCTTGGTGGGCATGGCAGGGGAAAGATATTGCAAAATCCCCATTCCCTCCCCACCCCACTAACCTGCTTTCCAGCTCCGTTCTCTTGTGCAGGGCACCAAATGTGGGCCAGCCAATCAGCTGGGACTCTGGAGGCAGAGAAGAGATGGGGGCGGGGCCAGTCAGAGGCGGCTCCGAACTATTACTCCAAATTTTCACTGCCGGTTCTCCAGAACTGATCAGAACCTGCTGAACACCACCTCTGATGCCTTCTCTGCAGTACTATATATATAAAGATGCTGCTAAAGCAAAGTTTTCCACACTTGGGAACTTCAAGACATATGGACTTCAACTCCCAGAATTCCACAGCCAGCATGCTAATGAAGTGTAAGATGAGTGGACTTCAATTCCCAGAATTCTCTAGCCAACATGGATGGCTGGAGAATTCTGGGAATTGAAGTCCACCTGTCTTAAAATTCCCAAGGTTAAAAAGCAGTGTATTAAAGGCACTTGTGTCCAACACATATACTTTCGTTTACTGTTGTATTTTTTATTCTTTATAGTGAATGCTGTTCTGAAGGTGGGTTGCCTTAAATCACTTCAAATCAACCAACAATGTATGTTGTTGGTAATATGATGATGTATGAGTAAAAGCACTGATTTGCTTTGAACTAAGCATGTCTCGTTACAAAATTCCACCTTTGTAAAAAAAATAGCTACTTTAATAGATTAAGAAACTATCTCATCCTTTCACAGAACTACAATTTCCAGGGATCCTTATCTGATTGCTGTGTCACATTAAAAAAAAAAGGTTTGGTTCTATAAGTTTTGTAGATTATCCCAAGGAAGAAAGCGAAGTGTATATTACATCGTCAGCTTCTGTGGTTAAGAGGCAATTTTACCAGAAAAAAAATAAATAGAAATGTTCCATGCTCAGGTATCTCTTCCTCCTTTTATAAGCAGATGTTTCCCTGAAAGAGTCACATGCTTTCGCAGTGAAATAGAAACATGAGAATATTCTTTTATTTTGGCAAAAGAAAGAGGGGGGAGGGGAAGCAAAAACGTCCTCTTGTGGTTTTCAGAAATTCACCATGATCAGGGAGCAGAACCCACAGCACCTTCGTTTTATATTATTTATTTATCAAATTTATTGGCTGCTCATCTTACCACAGGGTAATTTAGTTCCTAGGAACTAACAGGAACAACATAATTACCCTGGGGAACCAGGACAGAGGGACCTAGAAGATTCAAACTATCTTCACAAGGTAGCAGGAAAAAAAAGTGGACCAAAAGATGTTCATATGGAGTCATGTAACATGGAGATTATAATTACAAGGCAAATCTGGTTCCTCATTGTGGGATCCAGACAGGAAAACCACTGAATCACAATGGCGGCTGAGGAAAAACTAGATGATCTTGATCTACAGCAGTGTTTCTAACCTTGGCAACTTTAAGACGTATGGACTTCAACTCCCAGAATTCTCCAGCTGGCCATGCTAGCTAGGGAATTCTGGGAGTTGAAGTCCACTGGTTATCAGTGTTGGAAAAAACACTGGTCTACAGGAAAAAGTCAGCCCAAGATAGGCCTGTCACTCCAAGTTTACGACCTGTGGACTTCAACTCCCAGAATTCCTGAGGCAGTTGTGCCGGCTGAGGAATTCTGGGAGTTGAAGTCCACAGATCGTAAAAGTGGCACACCCCTGCTCTGAGTGAACTCGAAGAGAATTTCCACCCATGTTCATTCAATGCTTGGCTTCCCCTCACAGAAGCAACCCCAGAAGGGTTGGGAAAGCTTAAGACTGTCCCATGGGGGAAGGACCAGATATGACCTACAGACTAATTGGGTCACAGCGGAGGAGCCAGGAGGTGGCGGGGAAAGTAGGGCTGAACCCACCCACCCAATCTTGTCTTCCTGGTATCGTTGCAGGATCCCAAGAAGATAGGATTGGACAAAAGGGGAAGATGCCACAGGTGAAAGGGGTCCCAGGAGAAAAACCAAGATGGGGGCGCTATTGTCTGAGAGAGGGAGGCCCAGAAAAAGTCAAGATGGGAATCAGTATAGCCAAGGGGGAGAGTCAAGGGACCCTTAGACGGGCCGAGCGCCGGTTGTATGCATGCTAAAATACTCGGTGTAGCCGTTATGTTGGTGTAGTTGGGGCGCATGGAGTTGGTAGGGCGGAGGCTGAGTCTCGCTCCCCAGGGAGGGCTTCAACAGCACAGGGGCACCGCTGAGCTCAGAGGTAGTGACCACGCAGTTAGAGGTCAGGCTACGATCGGCAGAAGAGGTGTCTTCCATTTGCTTGCGGGTCTGCAGGAGGAAAAAGTAGGCAGAAAGTCCAAATAAACACCGGCAGGAAAGAAAGAACCGTGGTCTCTGTCACCCTTTCCTCCTCTCCCAAATCTAAAGCAATAAGATCAAGGGACGTGGAGGGACGCAGGTCGAACAACTTAACGTTATCCTGCCCCCTTGAACTGTCTTTTGATTCCAGGTGGGTTTGACTTGTTGTTTGTGGCCTGCCAGTGGCCAGTGGAGCTGGCGGCAGACTCGGAGAGTGAGGAGGTTGGGGAGGAACCTGGGCCAGTCCTGGAGTCTGGGGAAGGCTCTGACGAGGGCTCTGCGTCGGAGGCAGAGATGGGGCCGTGGCCGTCTGACAGTTATCAGCTGCCTTCGGAGTCGGAGATCAGTGGGGCAGAAGAACAACTGGAGCCTGTTCCCAGTGTGCGCATGCACAGAGCTGCCAGGAGAAGGGAACAGTTAAAGAACAAACGTCGACTCGGGAGTAAGGGCAAGTAATTGCTGCTACAGCATGACGTTTGGAAGCTATCGGCCTGGCAACTCTCCAAGCCTGATAAAGGTCTGTAGTTGTGAAATCTCATGAAAGACTGTTTGCTGGGACTTTGCTGGAGAGGGGATTCCTTTTAACCTAAATAAAAGAAGTTTTATCGGGACGAGGAGTCGGATTCATGCTTTTGGGAAGCCTAGGTCAGAACACTTGTGCTGGTTTTTCTTTTCTTTTTTTAGCAGGCTGGCCTAATTTAACGTTTTATTCGTTGTGGATGTTTTTCACTTCTTCTTTGATCTGAGTTATGGCCTTTTTAAAAAAAGAAATAAAAATTTAAGCGGACGCCTTTGTGTAACCTTATTATCATATTGTTTTGCTGACTGCTGTAAACTGGCAAGGGAGACTCATTTATCCAGCAAGCAGGTTTAAAAATTCATTAGATCAAATTAATGAATTACTCTGACATCACAAGCTACAGCAGCACCCTTGGCAGTCTGCAGGGAGATCGGATTGGTCTGGCATGGCATAGCAAAACCAAAGGGAACAAGAACTGATAAGAATGAGAACAATTCATCAGTGGAACTGTGCTGTCCCAGCCAATCTATGGGAGTTGGATAGTTACTTAAGGAATTATGAGCTGTCCTCTTAAGGGTAAATGTAGTTAAAGGTATCCTGGGAAATGTAGTTCATGTGGCTACATCTGTAATCCTGATTGGTCACTAAATTGACCCTCGAGGGGTTGAGGGAGGTATCCTCCATTCTTGCCTGGACTCATGAACTGATAAGCAGCTTACCGCTACAAGATGGGTTAGGAAAATAACCATCTTTTACCTGCAATGCTGATATACAAAGGATTGGTCATTATAGAAGAGCTTCGTCACAAATGTGAGTTATGAAGATACCTGATGTACCAATGAATGTACTTTGTTATGGATGTTTTGTGGAATTATCTATCTGCATCTGCACAGCCACAAGTCCACCTCTGTGCACGAGACAGGACAGAATAGGAACCGCTTGCCTCTCAAAGTTGTGAGTGCTCCAACACTGGGGGGGTTTTAAGAAGAAATTGGAGAGCCATTTGTCAGAAATGGTATGGGGTTTCCTGCCTGAGCTGGAGGGGGTTAGACTAGAAGACCTCCAAGGTCCCTTCCAACTCTGTTATTCTGAGTGCAAAAGCAATGCAGAACTATCAGTGTGGAAGGTGCGGAAGGTAGCAAACTCTACACCTACTCTAGTGCATGGAGAAAGGAGTCCACTTGTTCTGTGTGATGGTGCCATATATACGCCATGAAACCTCATAAGCTAAGTGGAGATACAGTGTGTGCGTAGTTGTCCATTACATCACAATCACAAGTGCCTTATGACATCGTCATCCCACAAACGTTGCCAGTTGCATCCTTGGCGTTATCACCTTTAAGTTTGCAAGTTGCAGGCTGGGTACGCTACACCAGGGGTCTCCAACCTTGGCAACTTTAAGACTTGTGGACCCAGAATTCCTGAGGCAGCTTTGCTGGCTGAGGAATTCTGGGAATTGAAGTCCACAAGTCTTAAAGTTGCCATGGTTGGAGACCCCTGCTCTACACCCATCCTTTCCTCTACAGCCTTTTGGATTATGAAGCTAGCCTAGATGGAAGAATCTAAATATTATAACTTTGGGCAAACCCTGAAGGGAAGGGGGCGATCTGCCTACACAGTTTTTGGATTTTATGGCAACAAGAATCCTTAGCAAGAGCCGTGGTGGCGCAGTGGTTGGGATGCATAATTGCAGGCTAGCTCTGCCGATCGCCAGTAGTTTGATCCTGACTGGCTAAAGGTTAACTCAGCCTTCCATCCTTCCGAGGTCGCTAAAAAGAGGACCCAGATTATGAGGGGCAATATGCTGACTCTGTAAACAGCTCAGAGAGGGCCGTAAAGCACTGTGTGAATCAGTTATATAAACCTAAGTGCTATGGCTATGGCTAGCATCTCAGCTAGGCAGGGAAATGTGGAAGGATAAGACACAGATGAGAAAGGTAAGCATTGCAGAACCATAGAGATGTCATCCTTGCAAAGGATGTCATTGGTTTGAAAGAAGGACAGAAGGATAGAAAAAAGCTATCTGCAGTGACCTCTCTTTGACTTCTGGTCAAAGTCACCCTTGGATTATCTGTCATGTCCTCAGGGATAGAAACCCAGAGTTTGCTGCCTCTGGCCTGGACGAGGCTTATGGAACAGCAGATGCAGAATAAGCAGCAGTCCTTCGGAGGAGGCGTCTCCAAACTCAGCAACATTAAGACTTGTTGGACTTCAACTCCCAGAATTCCCCAGCCAGCTGAAGTTCACAAGTCTTAAAGTTGCCAGATTTGGAGATCCCTGTTTTTGAGAATCAAGCAACCATTTGTAGAGAGTAAGGAAGATGACTTTGATGGAGATTCACCAGAGAAGAACTTGCGTATCTCTAACTAGGTCACCTTTCTTATTCTGTACACCAGGGGTTTCACACTGGATTTCTTCAGCATTATAGTTCTCCTCTGCGGGCTGGTGGCCGGGGGTTTGGCATGGTCAGTTTTTGGGCTGGTTTTTTGTTTTGTTTTTTGCCATTATTGGCCTGGTTTTCAGCCTGTTTGGGGCCCAGTTTTTGAGCTATTTTCAGCCTGTTTGGGGCCCATTTTTCAGCCCATTTGGGGCCTTTGGGGCCTGTTTTCTGGCTTTCTTGGCCCATATTTGCTGCTGTTTATGGCCCATTTTTGGCCAGCAGAGTGCTGCAGGAGGCTGAAGGGTAAAAACAAGGCGCGGAGTGGGCATTTTAGCCGCCAGAGGCACCACCGCAGGCCGGTTCATTTCCTATTTCCACGGGGCCGGATTTAAGCACCCCTGCTCTACCCCATGCTTATAAACAAAAAACAAAAAAATGGGGGGGCCACCTAAGGACATCATGTGCAATTCCACAAAGGTGTTTTGTTTGGTCAGCTCTAACGTCGTAACCGTTTAAGGAAGGGGAGGCTCAGACGGGACCCTCTCCGATTCTCACATTGCTGCTGTGGCTTCCCGTACTCTGGGGGATGGAGAACAGCTCCGTGAAGTTGGGCACCGAGTCACTGATGAACGTCACGTTGCCGTAGACGTGGTGCGGAAATTTGGCCCCCGTGGCCGCCTCCTCGACGATCCCAATCTGTGACGTCCTCACGTGGTACGGGAAGTTCTTATTGGCGGCCGAGGGCCTGGTTATAATCTGTGGGAAGGAGGGAGGACAAGAGAGCAGCTGGATGAAGCCACCACGTTTCCGATGGCAAGCGCTTCTTCCTCTGTGAAAAAAAAAGTCACCTTCCCCTTTCTTCTTCCTTCTCCAGCAAGCTATTTCATCAGCATTTTGATGGATAGTCTGCAACTGGCTAGATTCACACAACTTAAAACACAATCTGTCCCAAAGGTGCTTTTTCTTTTGCAAAAGGCAACTGGACTTTCTCGGTTTTCTTTGAAAGACATTTCGCTTCTGATCCAAGAAACTTCCTCCGTTCTGAAGATTCTGAAGAACTAAAGAAGCTTCCTTGGACGAGAAGCGAAACGTCTTCAGAAGCTTCAGAACTGAAGGAGCTTCTTGGATGAGAAGCGAAACGTCTTCAGAAGCTTCAGAACTGAAGGAGCTTCTTGGATGAGAAGCGAAACGCCTTCAGAAGCTTCAGAACTGAAGAAGCTTCTTGGATCAGAAGTGAAAAATCTTCAGAAGCTTCAGAACTGAAGAAGCTTCTTGGATCAGAAGCGAAACGTCTTCAAAGAAAAATAAAGGAAGTCCCGTTGCCTCTTGAAAAAGCATATTTGAGACAACCATAACCCGGTCAGACACTAAACTCAGTTTCTCAATTGCTATCTACACATAACATGTCCCAATAAATTACAGCTTAGCACAAAGGCCTGCCTCAACAGCACATTAAGACAACCCCAACTCCCTAAATCAGGGGTCCCCATGGACTGGCACGGGTCCAGCGCATGCCAGAAACTGGGCCACGCAAGCAAGTGAAGCCCCATCCATGGGATGCAGGCCGCACATGAAACCACACCACAGAACCAGTCCCTGGTACCCCAAAGATTGGGGGGGGGAGAAGATCCTCTACTCTAAACCATAAGCTGTCCAAACCCATTTCAGTTTAGCCCGATGTGCTGAGCATCCGAGCCACTGTTTTTGAGCATTAAAGTTCAAAGTCCAAAGCCTTTATTGTCACTGTACATCATGCGTACAACGAAATTGGTTTAGCCCAGTGATGGCGAACCTTTTTGTTGTGGTGTGCCGAAAGCGCACGGGCATGCCGGCACCCACAATGCAATGCTCCCCTCCATGCATGTGCGCGCAACACCCCGCCCCGCCCTCTTACCTACACTGCACATGCATGTGCCTCCCAGCTGGCTTTCGGCCCGTCTGAGGCTGTTTTCACCCTCTCGGAGGCTCGAGGGAAGCCTTTGCAGCCTCCGGAGGCCAAAAAAACGGGCCCGTTTCGGCACTTCCGGTATTTCCAGAAAGCCTGTTTTTCAGCCTTCCGAGGCAGCAGAGGCTTCCCTCGAGCCTCCGGGAGGGCGAAAACGGCTCAAACAGGCCGAAAATCAGCTGGGAGACGCACGCATGCGCAGTGCAGGTAAATTTGGCCGGGGCTTGCGTGCCCGCACAAATGGCTCTGTGTGCACACGCGTGCCATAAGTACGCCATCACGGGTTTAGCCTCTACTGGTGCAGTCCATGCAAGAATACAAGACAACATGAATAATACGCCCACACACCCCACTGTGACCCCAGGAGCTCAAAGCCGCAGTGTCTACGCATGCCGCCATCTTGGGGGGAGATGGGGGCGGGGGGGAAGAAAAGGCCTGTCACAGGAATTAAACATTTTAGGTGACGTGAAAATTCTTACCAGGAAAACCGCGTGAGCGTAGAAATGAATCCCTAGTTGAATGCCGTTGACGATTTTCTCCCGAGCCCATTTTGGTATGCCAAAGTTAGCGATAAGCGCAGTGACCGGGACGGCAAAAAACCTACACAAGAACAAGACGCTGGCTAAGGATGCAGATCTTACTGCCTAAAGCAGGGGTGTCCAACCTTGGCAACTTTAAGGCTTGTGGACTTCAACTCCCAGAATTCCTCAGCCAGCTTTGCTGGCTGAGGAATTCTGGGAGTTGAAGTCCACAAGTCTTAAAGTTGCCAAG